GCTCAATTTTTTAGTGACTCATAACTTAAATATGATAATTACAACAGTTAACTACTGACAGCTCGATCAATGTTTCATTACATAGTAAAGAAATGGAGGAAAGGCAATAAAAATATCTGCTTAATATATGTATATATGCACAAAATTTTTTTTTAACAAAATAGGAAACACTCATGGCAATCACAATACTTGTTTCTTTAAAGGTCCTGTGGCCTTAGCTGGTATTCATGACTGTCTTCCTCTACTACCCATTCTGTATTTCTTCCATTAGCAAGCACCTCAGCAGGTCTTGACACTACCTGTGTTGGGGGACCCTGCCATTTAAGGTCACAGTCCACCATGTCCTGATAGCTCCACAAGCTCAGTGCATAATGGAGGACTCCCTTTCTCAGCAGGGTCTTCCTACTCTATTCCTGACCTTATTTGGAGACTGTCTCCAAGCTCAGATGCCTAACTTTATTTGGAACATGATCTTTGACATAGTTCCCTGCAAAAGCTGCCCTTGGTTTTCCCGTATGATAATTAGGCATTGCACTACAGCCAGGCAATCCCACCTCCACTCTCTACATGATAGGGTCCCCCTGCCACATTCAAATAAAGCATACTATGAACATCTATCATGTAAAGCTTTGGCTGCCATCTTCACCCTGTATTTTCCCTGCCAACCGTCCTGAGTAAACGAGCTGTCTCACTGAAGCTGACCCCTGGAAGGTTTTTCCATCATACTTATGACCATCCTAACCCTGCTTGTCAACTCTGCTCCCTTTGTTCTCACGATCAGTGGCCAATGACCCATGAGGGAAGAGAGACCCTCATACCTGGAGAGGTGATCCCATACCTTCATTCCTGTAGGATCTGGGCCACTTATTATCCTGCCTGGATTGGGTTGTTGTAGCTTCCCAATGACCTTAATTACAGGACATGGTAACACCAGGAGATGCCCTCAAGAATCAGAATCACTGCACTCCAGACACAGCCTTCCTTACCTCCTGTTGGAGTATGTTAGTTTGCTTTTTAGGACATAAGATGGCCCCCTAACCCCAGGGAACCAACTTATGATGGCGCTGCCTCCCTTCTTACCCGCTACCCCCAATCATGCCCAGACTCAGGTTTAAAAAAGATAAAAATCATGGCCACAGCCATACAATGGGCCTAAAATAGCTTGGGTTGTCCTCCTGGGAGCCTTTCTGGGGATCACTTTGGCTCAGACAATGCAGATGTTGATCTTAAAGAGTCCTGGACTGAAAATATATTTGAAGGCCCTGGCTCATATGAGATGATGCCAACAGGCTTGTCCATTCAGGTCTTGTGAGCACACTCCAAAATGGTCTAGCCATTGCCCAAAATTGCTTCATCCAGTAGATCTCTTCCTTCTTCATATCGCACCAGCCTTGCCACGGCCCCAGTTTGGACCCCCAGTTTGGACCTCAAAATAGCCCATCTTTTAAACAAAAAGGGGGAGATGTAGGAGTATGTTAGTTTGCTTTTTAGGACGCCAGATGGCCCCCTAACCCCAGGGAACCAACTACCCCTCCCTCACAGGGCCAGTCACATGATTTACAGGCATTCTAGTCCCAATCAGTAAAACCTGTAAACTGAAATTTAAGCTGTCTACTCATGTATGACCTGATCATTTTACTCTCTCCTGAATGACTTGAAAACCCTATATAAGCTCGCTATTCCTTAATAAAGCAGATCTGTGTCTCTGAACCCGGTCTCCTGTGTCTGAATGCGGCTCCACTGACACAGCCTCCTCACCAGCCCTGGGATCCACGATCGGGTGGCGGCAGGGGCGGTGACCATGAAACTGGCCCGAATGGAATGGCCACAGCCTCCTTTAGTCAATGGGCTAAGAAGTAGTCCAATTTCCCCCAGGCAGTCTGGATCACTCACCAGTGATAACACTGTTACTCCTTTCTTAGCCCATTGACTCAAGGACACCAAAGTGACCAGGAAAAAGTCTTAGCCTCCAATTCAAAGGGATGTTGTTTTTCTTTCTGGAAGAAGCTCTCCCCTTGCTTGAATCAAAGCTTCTAGGCCAGCAGAGCACAAGGTTGTAAAAACAGGAAACAAAAATTTTGATAGTGGGTCCTTGGGAATGATTCCTGGACTCAGGAACCCTGACTATAGGATAACCAGTACCACATATTAGATGCTGATTTAGATCATATACAACCTTCTGGAGAATCCTGTCCAGGCTATTTCTATCTAATTGGCATTGTAACTATGTCTTTAAAATGCCACTCCACAGTTCAACCAATATACCTACTTCAGGATGGTAAGGAATGAGGTAAGACCAGTGAATCTCATGGGCACAAGCCCACTGCCTACTTCTTTGGCTGTTAAGTGAGTTCCCTTGTCAGAATCAATGCTGTGTGGAATACCAAGATGGTGGATAAGGCATTCTATAAGTCTAATAAGGACAGTATTTTTGGCAGAAGCATTATGTTCAAGAAAAGCATATCCACAACCACATTAAGTATCTATTTCAATAAGGACAAAGCACTGTTTTTTCCACAATGGAAGAAGTGGTCTAGTACAATCAACCTGTTTCCTTATGTCATTTACCACCTCTGACTCTTACAATCTTTCTGCCCCCTCTTCCTCAATGATCCCTAAACCTTGGGAGGCAGAAATTTGATATAGGTGTCCCTGTTCAGGGATCTTTGTGTTTTCTGTATGTTGGCCAGATGTGGGTTTCTGTGTTAATCGCTATCTGTTGCATAAGGAAACTTCTCTGTGAGAGCTGAGAGATGGATTAATCTGATTTATAAATTTTACATTAGCTTTTAAAATAAAGATTTCCATATGACTTGTTCATAAATGCTTAGTTTTGTTACTGTTCCCTCCCCACCACTCCTGAACCTTCACCCTCCCTCCTGTTGGTGTTTCACTGTCAATCTTTGGAAAATAGCTCATTTTAAGCAGCTGGGGAAATGGATACTGAATAAATTTACCCACACTGGTCTGTTTTCTGATTGCAGTGCTTTAGCTGCCCAGCATATTTTTGTGTTTTCCTCCTAATCCCTGCAAGCGATGTGAAGGATAGACTCTACCCTTCCTTGCTCAAAGACTTTACATGGGCTTATACCTGGTCAATGAGAGTGACCCTATTTCTGAGGCAATAAATGGATGCTCAAAGACTAGTAAAGCTCAAGGCAGGTTGAGAAGTAACCTTGGGGATTTTGCTCAAGGTATATGGAAAAGATACTCTCCTTGGGATTAGGTATATTAAGAACTCTAACAACTCAGAGTTTCTGGTAGAAGAATTTGCCTCCATAGGAGAGACTAAAGAAAACAAGCAATCCAGAGGAAGCAAAAGCAAAGACGGCAGCAATGAGTCCTTGGCTTAACAATGCCCGACTCTGCTTTTACCCTTTAGGTTCCCCAGATATGTGAAATTTTCCATTATCATAGTAACATGATCATGGGATAGCTGGAGAGATGAAAGGGAAGTGAGGTAGGCACGTTTTATACATAGCATAATGCAAAGGCAGATGATAGTATTTATGGATGAATACAGTTTTAAAAATAAGGATAGGGCTGGAGAGATGGCTCAGAGGTTAAGAGCACTGGTTGTTTTTGCAGAAGGCCCGGGTTCAAATCCCAGCACCCACATGGCAGCTAACAACTGTCCGTAACTCCAGTTTCAGGGGATCCAAGAGCCTCTTCTGTCCTCCACAGGCATTGCACGACACGAGTGCACTTACCTACATGCAGGCAATACATGCATACACACAAAATAAAAATATTTTTTAAAAAATAAAAATAAGGATAGACTGAGAACAATTCAGTGAAAATTCCTAATTTCTTAATGGCAATAATTGAAATTATACAAAAAGCCCATAAATGCTACATTATATGTATTACCACAGGGATATTACCCCCCCATACACACACATACCAAAAAAAATTCATGGTGAGGGATAGCTCATGTGACTCTGGGTCCCAAATAATCCAGGTGAGTCCTTGAAAGATGAAGGAAGGAAAAAAGCAAAAGCAGGGACATACACTTCCATCTTGCACCCTTCTGTGGTCTCTTTAAGTGAAAATAGTAACTATGAAACACTCGATAGCTGAACAAGTAAACTTCCAACAAATCTGCATGGCTGACTTTTTGAACAATTTCTTTTTGGTCTTTTTGAGACAAGGTCTCTCTGTATCCCCAGCTGCCCTGATGTAGACCCGCCTGGCCTTGATCTCATAAAATCCACCTGCCTCTGCTTCCTGAGTGCTGGGACTAAAGGTGTGTGCCACCATGGCCGGCATAGACTATCATTTTTATATTCACTGAATTCCCCCAAATTAGATATAATTCAAAACTTACACTAAATCATTTGTGTGTATTTGTGTATGCAAGTATGCATCCATGTATACGTGAAGACCAGAGAATATCAGGTGTACTCCTCAATCACTCTCCACCCTGTTTTTAGACAAGGACCCTCACTAAGTGTGGTGATTTGGATAGACTGACTGGCCAATAGGCCCCAGGAATCATACGATCTCCTTCCCAGCACTTGGACTACAGATGTGTATTACCATCTGTAGCTTTTTATGTAGGTGCTATGGATTGAAGCCAAAGTCCTCACACTTACTTGACAAGCATTTTGTCAGCCGAGCTAACTCCCCAGCCACCTAAATCATCTTTTACTACATAATTCCCAGTTTTGCTTTACTTTTTATACAAACTTCGTCAGTTACCCCTGTTAACTGAATGATATTGTATCTTTCTGAGGGGTTAAGCATTATTTGGTAGACACCATCTTCCTCTACTCCATTATCTTCTGGAAGTGTGTATGACTTGCTGAGATATCCTCATTTGATGTTTCCAAAAGTGGGAATACCTAGATGAACAATTAATTAGAAATGTGACTGGTTTCTTGAATGACGTGGAAATATTTATGTTTGGTCTTTCTTTACATCTTAAAATATATTCAAGTTATAATTTAAAAGCAGAGTATAAACGTTTCTGACAATACATATACAAACAACATCTTTATTGGTAGTAGGCCATTAGAGCAGTCAAATTTTGTTCATAGGTACCAAAACATTCAAAAGGCAAATAATTAAAACTTTCAAGATTCATATTAGAATACATACAAACACACAGGTTGTAAATTAGGCATAAAAAGAACAAATACTGAAATGCAAAGGGTCAAAGTTTCCCATGAAGCTAATGTAAAGCACATACTTTAGTGTGCTTTAAGCTGCATTCTGGTTACAAACTTGAGTTCTCAAACCATCATATAACTTCTGTAAGTGCTACTCGGAAGGAAAAGTCAGTAGGTTCCACAAAGTCTTAAAAAAAATAAAATGTCTAAGAAACCATATCAATGGAAGCAAAACCAGAGAGATGTAGCTCAATTTTTAAGAGGCCAGAAAGCAATTATGTTCACAAGTCTAAATCTGTAAACCAAAGGTGGACAAGACAAACTCAAGTAATTTATTCTGATATTTACTTCATTTAAAAATTTATTTTTTTAAATATAGAATAAATGATACATATTTATAGTGAGAATGGTAGAGACTGAGAGGGCGTGAGCAAGTCAGAGGCAATGGATGGTGGGGCTGTCTGTATGGTCTCTTCGTTACACCAGTTTCTTTATAAGTACTGTCATTTTCTACTTACATAGTTTTTCAAGGTCACGTATTTGATAAGAGTGGAAGAAATCAAACTCAACTTTGAAAATTCCAGGTCATCAGTCTACTTCATTAGTCAGATTTTGGCCTCCAAAATGAATTTTGTTTCATCCAAGCTTTTGGGATACTGAAAGTTTTCATGAAATACTATAGTGAAATCCTAAGATTAGGATTTCACATCTCTTATTTCCCTACCTGACTGCTTTCAATATTCTGTAACTTAAAAACTCAACTAGAGTAAGAGGACTACTGAGTTCCCAAGTAGTCCCACTGGCTGTATTCATTCACCCTGCTCTGCTTACAAGTCTGTCCTAAAGGATAACTAGAATGGCTTTAGTCCCAAGTGAAGAGCCAGTTCACCATCATTATAATGTTCCCACTCCTGATTTTCTACTGGCTTTATCCTCCTTCTCCACCCCCTGACATGGGTGCTCTAGCTCAGAGTCAGCAAACATTTTCTGTAAAGAGTCAAACAACAAACATTACAGGATTTAGGGGATGATCTAAGGGAACAAATATGACTTTTCAAAACTCAAATATTGAAACTTTATCACCAGTGTAATGGTATTAAGTAGGACTTTTGAGAGGTCATTAGATCATGAAGGGGATCAATGTGCTTAGAAGCAACTGAAGAGGCTAAAGTCCTTACCTCACTCCGTAAGGACAGAAGTACCTTTCATGAACAGAAGAAGTAGCCCTTCATCAGACCCATATCTGTTGCTATCTTGATCTCCAGTGCAAAGTTTCAAACCTAACTTTAATTTTCCCCTTGGATCCTAAGATATAAATTTCTATTGTTTGTAAGCTACTCAAATTCAAAATGATATTTGGTTATAGAAGATGCAATCTCTGCAGCAGTTACTCAATTCTGATGTTGCATACAAAAGCAATCAGGTAGCATGTAAACTAATGAATGTAGCCGAGTTCCAATATAATTTATAGAAATGAGTGGTGGCAAGACTTGGTTAAGAGTCCAGGGCCTACTTAGTGGAATCCTACTCTTACATATGCCATATTGACTAAAGTAAGGAAAGAGTTTAGTCCTTTTCTTGAGTCAGTCATTCTCCTAGCCCAACCTCAAACCGCAAATGTTTCCACCAAACTTTACCCCTTTCAATCAGACTCTCTGTTGGTTTTAAACCTCTTTGTGAAGAGTCATTTTACCTTTATTTCCTGTGATTTCCACCACTGGCAGATTTATACTCCATTCACTCTTCATGACAGTGCTTTCCATTATGATTATTTCTTTAAATTCTATTCTAATTTTCTTTGGTCATAAAACTCAAGGTCTACTAGTGGAAATTAACACAAAGAGAGGGCAAGAGTATGAGCTAGAAGATAGAACCAAGGAGACTAGAATTCTAGTTTAAAAAAAAACTGATTTTTTAAAATTTTCTATAGCTTTTTTCCATATAACTTGGATTACAAAACAGACTATTTTAAATGACATTGCATATTGTTTTACTAAATATTTATGTGAACATTTGTTTTATTTCCAATCCTCTTACTTTGGTAACCTATATAACTTACAATAACAGATTATTCTGATTTCATGTCTTGTTCACTTTCTTTCTTTATAAAAACAAATCACATATGGAGACTAAGTACAACAAAATAATGTGATTAAATATGTGAAAAGAAAATCTGATTATCCTCAGGTAAGTCACTTGTCCTGTGAGGGTTTTGTTTTGTTCTCCTTTTTTTTTAAAATACCTGACAAGAAAGTATGCCATAGTATCTCAGTTCTCTTCTTGACTGGGATCATAGGTAAAAAAAGTCTATATTGAACCTATCAGCTTTTCAGGCCTACAATATACATAGGGATTGTTTTATAGTAACAGAGCATTGTTTACAGAAAGCTGAATAGTGTATAGGAATGAACTCTCCCTAATGATTTGATTATAGAAAACTGAGGATTCAATCAATGTAAAGATGAGAAAAGAGGGACTTGATAAACAAGTACAGTGAAGATTCTGATCCATTGTGCACGTCACAGTGAATCCCAGGGAACTGGAAAATGAATATCCAAACAAAGCAATAGCAATTTCCTAAATCAATGACGAATATAATCCATGTGAACTTAGAAGCTGCTATAAATATAGTTATTTAGATAGCACCCTTTGTGTGGGATATAATCCTAAACAACTTTCAACACTCAGCTTTAAGATTCTATCATTACTAAGGAAATGATACCATATATATTAGTAGATCTCTTTGAGTTCAGAGTAATAACTTTGTGTCTTACTGAGGATAAGAATATAAGCCCTCAGCCTAACCTACAAAATAAAGTGTTCTTTGCTAAATGAAATGCTATAGCAGATTCTGCTATGATCAAGAATGGGGGAAAAACTGAATTTCACAATGTTTATAGTATTAATATCTCCCAAACATTTCTTTAATTTCCAAAACCAGGTATTTCAAAAAGTAGGAATAAAAGTTTTCTTGATAGCTATAGCCAGAAGTTTCATACTTATCAAATAGATGGGCATGCATAAGCGATATCCCATCTGTAGTTCAATAGTACGTATAAGGCAAATGAAATTACATGTATGTATATACAATTGGTCCCCAAGATCAAAACATCATGGACGTCTTACTTAAACCCTCAAGTATTAAACACAGTGATAAAGCCAACTTCCATTTCTTCACATTCAATACATTTTCAGGACTGTTCATTAGTGTGAATTCTTTGATGTCTGATAAGGGATGAACTGCACTTAAAGCTTTTCCCACATTCATGACATCTAAATGGTTTCTCTCCAGTATGAGTTCTCTGGTGTTGAATAAGAGCTGAGGAATGAATGAAGGCTTTTCCACATTCACCACATTTGTAGGGTTTCTTCCCAATATGAATTCTTTGATGTTTGGCAAAATTTGAGCTCCGGCTAAAAGTTTTTCCACATTCATTACATTCATAGGGCTTTTCTCCAGTATGAATTCTCTGATGCTGAACAAGGTGTGTACTCTGACTAAAAGTCTTTCCACATTCACTACACTCATATGGCTTTTCACCAGTGTGAATTCTCTGGTGCTTAGTAAGGGATGAGCAATGGCTAAAAGCTTTCCCACATTCTTGACATTTGTAGGGTTTCTCTCCTGTATGAGTTCTTTGATGTTTAATGAGTGCTGATGAATGAATGAAAGCTTTATCACATTCATTACATTCATAAGGCTTCACTCCACTATGAATCAACTGATGCTGTGCAAGATGTGTGCTTCGGTTAAAACCTTTTCCACATTCACTGCATTCATAAGGTCTCTCTCCAATGTGAATTCTCTGATGTATTGCAAGAGATGAACTTTCTGTGAAGGTTTTTTTACATTCACTACACTCAAAGAGAATTCTAGTATGAGTTCTCTGGTGTTTAGTTAGATTAGCTCTGTGGCTAAAAGATTTCCCACATTCATTGCAGGTGTAAGGTTTCTCTCCAGTATGCACTCTCTGGTGTCGAATAAGCACTGAATGGTAAGTGAAGAGCTCGCCACAATCATCACATTTATGAGGTTTTTTCTCTTTGTAGGGTCTCTGTTTTTTAATTAAATTTGATTTCTGCTTCAATCTTTTTCCAATTGTACAAAAGGCATAGGATCCTTTACGACCTCTGTCTTCAGTCACAAGGAGAGATTTCTGACTGAAACTTTTCCAATATATATCATGCTTGCAATCTTTTCCTACATGGAGTGAATTCATGTGGGTGAACATGTCTCTCAAGTGTCTCTCCTGATTTTCTTGTTGACTCTCTAACCAATGTCCACATTCAAGAGTTGTTTCCAAGTTGGAGTCACAGACACTATTTCTTATCAGTTTGTCTACTACTGTGACCCGGTGTGATTCGTCTTTGGAAAACTCTTGCAATGAAGGAGAATCCTTGCTCTCAGGTCTAGTTTCCATGTCTGAAAGACATTGCAAATGCAAATGTTCTCCGTTTTCTGTGCGCAACAAAAAGGCAGTTCTGTAACAGGTAAGAGTTAATGAAGATAAAAGCATGCCTTCATGAAATTAGTGGATTTGATTCTTACTAGGTGATTATCAAAGGAGAAGGAAATGGAGGGAAATAAATGCTCAGTATATCCAGTGAAAATAAATATACTCTATCCAGAAGAATCAGGAGAGAGGAAAGAAGACCAGAAATATAAGAGAGAAATGGGTGAAAAAAATGTGCCAGTAATCAAACAATGAGTGCATTAGATATGTATAGAAAAAAGCACATTGTATAGAACATCTCCTGTTGTAATATCCACGTAATCAATTACATCCTAGTGCTGTGTGTTTATCTGTGTGTACAAGTAAATATACATATACAATTATATAATAAAATGCTATTATATATAATAAGTATAGTAATTAAAAGAATATGGTATTGGAACACAAATAGATAACTAAACTTAGAAATTCAAGTATATAAGGGAACTGGATTTACCAAAATAGAGTACTACAAATCAGTGATAAAAGATTATTCAATAAATGATGCTGGATTATAGGGTATAAGTATGAAAAAATATGCTTCATGTCATATACAAAGTGAAATACCTGTATAACAAATCTTGAATATTTTAGAATAAAATTACCTTTCTGACACTAGTATGATAAAAACAATTCACAAGAAGTAAACTTTGAAAAACTAGTAAGGGTTAGGGACATAGGTCAATGGTAGACTTCTTGCCTATCATTTGCAAAGCTCTGGGTTCCAATCCCAGCACTGAAAAATAAAAACATATAACTCTGACCTTAAAATTTAAAGTTTGAGATACAAATAAGCCAAAAACTGAATCAGTTTTCCTCCATAATTTATAATGCTACCTAAAATATACACACAGCTCCAACAAGATCAATAAAACTTGAATAGGCAATAATCACAAAATATTCAAATGACACATCTATCACTCAGGAGAAATACAAATGAAAGATATAAAGCAGCATTTTGTACCATGATATGGACAAGAGCTATTAGTTCATAACATCAACTGGAGGACACCATGGGGAAAGGACCGTGACAATTCTAACAAAACTAGTATGTGATAGTTTAAGATTTGTATATTTGAGAAAAAGAAAAAAGACTTGCATAGCTTCTTTTGGTTACTGACTTTAAACTTAATTCTCAAGCAGAACACAAGCTAAAAAATGATTGCTGAATCTTTGCTATTCACAGCAAAAAAGTAAAAAAAAAAAAAATCCAGTTTATTCACACAATGAACAAATTTAATTTACTCCATAAAAAAATATGATTCATCATGTATTAATAAATATTGATAACAAAACACAATGCTGATGCTTTAAAAAACAGATGACATGAGAAAAAGAGTAATATACACATAGTTTTATATATATATATATGTGTATATATATATATACACATATATATGTGCATACACAGACATGTACATGCAAATACAGGAATGATTGACATCAACTTCAAGACAAAGTGGTTACTTCTAGAGAATGAAAAGATGAGAGGGTTTTAACTGAGTATTATCATTTCCAAAAACTGTAAGAATGGTTAAAATAAGGACAGATAATATTAAGTGTAGATAAACATATGGAACGACTAGAACTCCCAACTCCTCCTGGGAGGAATATAATTGGAAAGATTTTTTTAAAAACTTCTTTGACAGTATCTACAATAAATGAGCATGCACTTAACCCATGAACCAGTATTTTTATACACATACATACATACACACACACACACACACACACACACACACACAAGCATGTAACAGAAATGCATATATGCATATATGTGTCCATCATGTATCTCAAAGCAGCAATATTCATATAACTTCAACTGGAAACTATGCAAATGCCTATTTTCAAGAGAATGGATAAACTCGAACATTAACATCCTAAAAGGCTATACAACAGTTAGAATGAACTAGCCTTAACAATATGTCACAACATGGAAATATCCCACACTCAAGGTTCAGTGAAGGAAGCCAGATACAAGAGAACATATGATTCTATTTAGAGGCTCAAGAACAGGCAAAACTAAACTATAGTGTTAGGGGTTGAGGTAAGATGACTCATGGGAGAGAGATGATGGAACACTGGTCTCAGAGTATTTCTAGGAGCACTAGTAAATTGTCTTATTGATCTGTGTCCAACTGGTAAAGACTCATAGAAAACCTATAATGCTTTTATGCATTTATGTTGAGAAACAGGAAGAAAGAAGAGGCAAACAAAATGAAACAAGATGTTTAACTTTAGAGATGATATGCTATTTTATTGACTTATGTATTTAAGAAGCTTGAAAATGTTAAATATTTAAAAAATCAAGCCACAGGGGCATTTCTAATCCTCTTTCTTACATTCTAAAAGTGCCACTCATTTCCTTTTTTTGCTGGACATTTCTGATGAGCCCCATCAATCCAACTCACCTGAACGGCTGCATTTATGTTCTCTTTTCTCAAGCTTCACTAGTTCTTTTCCATTGTCCAAACTGTAGTTCTCGGGTTTGGGAATGGGAAGCCCTGTTTCATAAAAACAGAAGAAAAGGAAGAAAGCTAAAAGAAAGAAAGAAAGAAACTTAACTCTTACTATGCGCACAACAATCTATACTGGAACTTAGTTCTATGCCCTTTACAAATGAGACAAGCTACTCCAAGCTTACCATCTGGAGCAAGGAAAGATGGGACCGCAAATGAGGCAAAAAAATATCTGTAAGAGCCTAAGATGGGGGAAGAGCTAAGATGAGTTTGAAAGACAAATGATTTTGTCTGTTAAAAAGGAAGAGAATGATTTTAATTTACTTATTGACTGAGGAAATTACAGACTGACACTAAAGATCAATCTTTACTTCAGGAAAGATGGATAAGGGGCCTCAGGGGCACCCCAAAATTTTGACTGTAGTAACTATAGTGTTTGCCTTCTGACATTTTCCCTCTCTTCCTTTTTCAATCACTAGACTTTCTTTGGGGATTTGTTACATGAGGTTTGACATGGGCCATCATAGTCTGTTCCACCCCCAAGTAAACAAACATGCACATCATATTCACACATACACAGTACTCCACACAGGAACCAAAACAGGCCAAAAGTGCTCCACTTGACTGCTCTCTACTGTTTCTCTGATGGATATATGACTATTTGTTGAATTTCCAAGTAAAAGCATTTTTTTTCTTCATTCATCTTTCTATATGGAGGAATCCTAAGAATAAAGTTAATAGAGGACAAAGACAGGCCAACTGACTAAAAGCAAACTAACAAAATTCCCGATGACACATTTGGTTCCCTAAGGATATGACTTCCCCTTTAAGCTAGTTGTTGTCATTTGAATCTTGATACATAAGAGACCCCAACATTTCACTCCAAGGACCTACAACAGAAAAATCTTTCTCAGCCGAAGATATGGTTCAGTGGCAGCATGTATGCTTAGCATGATGCAAACCACAGGAAAATCCTCACCATTGCACAAAACAAAACAGTTTTCTCTGGGCCAAAAAGAAATATTTATGACTTCTGAATGAAAAAGTGAAGGCTTGCAATGTATTTCATGTTCAGCCAAGGAATGCCAGCACCATGAGCAGAGTCTGATCGGGGTAAGAATCTAATGATTCTTACAAAGTGAGACGAGATTCCTGTAGTTCTCCAGCATCACGCTCCTTTGCACAGGATCCAGTTTCCCCCATTCCTCTGGTGTGAAGTCCATGGCCACATCCTTGAATGTCACTGTTTCCTAAGGCACAAGCATAGTTTTTTTTTTACCATCTTTCACTTGATATCCTTCCTTTCATCCTGTTCTGCTGTAACTGGAGCAAAAGTCCAAGATACTCAACAAAGGAGTGGCAGGTATTCTAAGAGATAACTATTCAGATTCCAGATATTTTATGTAAAGTCACTAAATATCCAGACACACTCAGCACGAAATAACATGTTTACATCACTGAGAGACTACTATTTTTTTTAGTTAAAAAAAAACATAATACAGGTAGAGAAGAAAAAGTAAACGTTTGCATACTGCTCTGTGAGTCCTTAACAAACCTGAAGCCCCGACCTAGCCTTCTGAAGAATTCTAAATCAGAGCATGCAAACAGAGAAGACACAGAAGGAAGACCGGCAGTGAATGCCTAATCCAGCTAAGCATGGGATTAATTCACAGTAAAAAGTATTAAGTTAGAAAATGTGATGAACTGATTAAGGTTAAAGATGTAACTCAAAAAACATTTAAAAGGAAAATATCACAATGGTATATTGCTGTAAGACAAAAAAATAGAAAAACTAAAAGGAGACAGATACATATCAGTAATGAATGTGCCCCTTTAAGTAAAGCAATAAGGAACAGGGATATTCTCCAAAGTTGCTGAAAACAACATGTAGGAAACACCTAACCGGATAGAAAACACCTTCTAGCCAAAGTATTTGCAAAACCCAATGAGTAAATTTTAATAAATTCCCAAACCAAAATAGAACAAAGCAATGACTGATAATTGGAAAACCATAAAGGAATATAAAAATAAACAAAACACAATCCCCAATGCTAAGTGGTTACAACTCTGGAAATGCAATGCACTTTGGAAACGTCATAGACTTAAACACTTTTGGTTTAGTAAAACAATTACTTAAATAAATAAGAGCACACAAATCATGTTTAAAGATCAAGAACAAACTCAGAAAAAAAGGGTTACAAAATAAAAGAAGCTGTGAGCAGAACAACAGGACAGCTGGGACATCTGAGCACAGGCACAGGCTGCTTGTGATACTAGAGACACTGCAAAGTGAAATGTTAATTTCCATAGAGTCTGGATGAAGTGCACAAGAGGGCTCTGTACGTCCTGTAACATTCCCCATATCTAAAATTTTCCCAAAGTGAAGTTTGTAAAAAAATTGAAATAATCTGAAACCTTAGAAATAAAAGAATCACCCTTTGAAAATGAAAAACATACAAAAGCCACTAAACAGTAACTAAATAGAAAAGACTTTTGAGGAAAAATGATCATGATCCCAGAATATGAATATGCAGTAAATCAACACTTGGTGTGAATTACCTGCCAATGAATTCAAAAGAGAAAACCAGAACAGCAAAAATGCAAATTGCTATACAAAAGGTAGGGAAAACAGGAAAATCAACAAAAGCACAGGAAGTAGAATTATGTGACAAGAAACAACTGAAGCACATATATTAAATGCGAATGGGTACATTTCCTTATAAAAAGATATTTTTAAAAGTCATATCCGGTGAAGCCTTTTCATAGTTATTCTAAAATATAATCAATGACATTTTTCAAAACACTGTATCTGAGCTGAAGAAATGGCTCAGCAGTTAAGAGCACTGAATGTTCTTGCAAAGGACCCAGGTTCTACTCCTAGCACCCACATAGCAGCTAACAAACTGTCCATAACTCCAGTCCCAAGGGATCCAACCCCCTCTTCTGTCCTCTGCAGGCATTGTAGGACATGGGTGCACTTACATACTTTTGGGCAATACACTCATACACATAAAATAAAAATAAAAAGTCATATCCTATTTAATAATAAGTTCTCCAAAACATCCCAAGGTTGGAGACAGACAGGGAAATGAAAGCAATACAGGACACCACATATCTGGATATACGAGTATAAACAACAGTAACGGTGAAGATATAATCAAACAGTTATCCTCTGAGGGAGAGGTAAGGGACTCAATTTGGGGAGGGAAGTAAGCATTTCTATATATTTCTATAGTCTGTGTTGTTTGTTAAACCAGTAAAAATTAAGAACTAAGACTAATTTTTTTCTACGAAGGTTTTTAAAAAACAGCCCACAGGGCTGGAGAGATGGCTCAGTGGTTAAGAGACTGCTCTTGCAGAGGACCCAGGTTTGATTCCCAGCACCCACATGGTGTCTACAAACCGTCCTAACTCCAGTTCCAGGGGAATCCAATGCCCTCTTCTGAACTCCACAGCACTGCACAACATGGGTGCACTCACATACATGGAAACAATACACATAAAATAAAAATAATAGGGGCTAGAGAGATGGCTCAGCGGTTAAGAACACTGGATGTTCTTGCAGAAGACCCTGGTTCGATACCCAGCACCCATATGGCAGCTAATAACTGTCTGTAACTCCAGTTCCAGGGAATCCGACAGCCTCTTCTGACCTCCGCAGGCATTTACGACACAGATGCACTTACCTATATGCAGGCAATACACATATACACATAAAATAAAAATAACAAAAATAATAAATTTTTTGCAAGGAACAATATATTGTAAAATGAAATGGAGATCTTTTTTTTTTTTTAATTAGAAGAAGCATTTCATTACAACAGCATTAACCTATTCAATAATATTTTTCTGAGCTAGGGTACATCTCTTTCAAAATTGGCTGTACATTTTTAGGTTTACAGATGAATTATTACGCTTATACAATCTTTTACTCATTATAAACTCTATAAGACATACAATTAAATGAGGTTTTAACGTTTAAAAAAGATGAAATGGAGATCTTTTTAAAAGGTTAAAAAACTCACTCAATTTTATGTCTTACAGGGCTTATACTGAGTTCAATATTGTATAACTCTATTAACTCAACTGTGAACCTACCCTGAAAAAATGTTTGGGTTAAATAAGCTCTAAAGACCCTTCTGAGGTGGTTGTGATGGTACACTTTTTTTGGTCTTTTTTTGGTCTTTTTTTTTTTTGACACAGGGTCTCCCTACAGCCCCAACTGGCCTGGAACTCAGTATGTAGACCAGGCTGGCCTGGAACTCACAGAGAGATCTGCCTGCTTCTGCCTCCCAAGTGCTGGGATTGAAGGGCATGGTAGTCCGGAGAACAGAAGAGGCTGTCGGATCCCTTGGAACTGGAGTCACGGACAGTTGTTAGCTGCCATGTGGGTGCTGGGATTCAAATCTGGGTCTTCTGCAAGAACAGTCAGTGTTCTCGGGGCTGGAGAGATGGCTCATCGGTTAAGAGCACTGACTACTCTTGCAGAGGACAGGTTCAATTCCCAGCACCCACATGGTGGCTATGAACCGTCCTTAACTCCAGATCCAGGGGAATCTGAAGCCCTCTTCTGACATCTGCTGCATTGCAGGACACGGGTACACTCACATACATGCATGCAATACACTCATACACATAAAATAAAAATAATAAAATATATTTTAAAAAACAGCCCAGACAAATGCTAATACAAAAGTTCCAGGATTAGCATCAAGTAAAATCTAATGAAATTTCAAAAGGATAGACTTTCAAAGCAATTTCCATCAAAGTTTCAATCTACTTCTATGCTATAACAGTCTTAAATCTAGTATCTAAGTGTTGAAATATACAAAACACCTGATTTTCCTGTGTCTCTGTGCCAGGCCACCGAGCCTGTACAGATTAGATAGTACTGAGTCCATCCCGGAGTCATGGGTGCAATGTGTGTACAAGTATGTGCACTGGTGTAGTCCACAAAGAATTAACTCTTAGCTAACACCAATACTAATATATAAGCAGTTAGAACTAATCCCAGTACTTGGGCTAGAATGACTGGGGGTGGAGTTAACCTTTATCTTCAACCCTGGAGATGTAAGCCTAAACTTCTGTGAAGACATCAGGAGAAGAAAAGTCTGCTTAAGAGGAAAACCCATAGTTTTAGAAAAAAGTCAATTAAAAGAACAGGATAACTCACAGTGTTACTGCCTAAATCTTTTACTTTCTTCAGATACAACTTAAAGCTTTTGAATAATAAAGTCTATGGGACTCATATAAGGCAATTGGGAAACACAGTATAAAAAAGCCAGAAGTCATTTTTACAATCGTACAGATGTGCAATTTCTAGAAGAGGCTGATTGAGGAGCCTTTGGGTTGTGGATTGCAACATGAACATAATAATTAGTAAAATCACTACCTATTATTACCTATTAGGGAACTGTAGACCTAATACTTCAAATTTATCACCTGGGAGGGTTGCTTCCTAACTAAGTTCTGAAGTCTTCATGGGCTTTTCCTTTTCCAGCATTAGCTTTAACTGACTATGTATTATTATTATTGTAATCCCTTCGGCATTTAAGGTGTTTTCTTAAATTCCTACTTACAGTCACATATGTGCTATTTCCCTTAGAGAAATGTAAGCTTTAAAGAAGCAAGTGCCGTATTATCTTAAAAACACTTTCCTACATTACCAAGCACAGAAATGAGCATAGTGGAGGAAAGAAATGTGGCTTACCTGCCTATAGAGAGACAATAAATACTAGAGAGGTACTATGGGTAAGTAGAAAATATTTCTCACTGAGTCCATTAGTCTCTTAGAACTCAGAAAAAAAAAAATTTAAATAAAAGAATAAGTAAAGGAATTAGAACTCAGGTCTCTAAATGTGCTCTGTGGACCAAGAAATTCCACATCAAAAAGCAGAGAGTATGCCTGTGATCTGAGAAATATGGTAGAATTTGATGTCACTAGCCAGCCAATAGAGAAACACTCACCTGGGATCTGGCTGAAAGTCGAAGAGCTGCCACCTCTCCCTCTGCAGTGCTCTTCTCTTGGGTAAGGAGAGAGTCGTAGGAAGACAGAGCTAAGGGCAAGAAAGCAATAGTGATGAGGTCAAGACAAATCTTACTATTCAGATTACAACCCCAAATTCCTTCACCACACCCAAAGTGTTAGTTACTGTTAACAAAGCCTGAAGGAATCCAAACCATCTCTGGTCTAGAAATTAGAATAAGTCAGTTAAGCTCCTATCAATCTACACAAAGTATCAGAAGCAGACTCAAATGGCTTTTATTTCTTTTTCTCAAAATGCATATTAAAATGTAGATTACCAGATCTCTCCTCCAAATAATTATTATTGGTTGAGTTTGAGGTGCACTGTAGAACTCTTAACAAAACGCAGGTCTAGTAGTACTGAAGTCAGCCCTGACTTTTGTGCCCATTAAACAAACATACTGTAAACAAACTGCACTGAAATCGTAGGGTATCTATATAGATGAAGTGGGACAACAGATATGGAAAAATATTTTTGTCAATCTCAAAGCTGAATTCTAGGTTGCACTGATGGAAACAGATGTGATAACAATTCGGAAGAACTTCAGAGTTCTTTAGTTGTGGCAATGTTCCCATTTGGGTCTGCTTTGAAGGGTCCACTGTGCTGGGAGCTTGGATGGAATGGAGTTAACCTCATGCCAAGCCCTGCATTTATTCAAAGATCCTACCCTTCCTCTAAGACAGTGTTGACAAACTGCATTCTCTGGCACATCCCAAGGCAACGGTGGTTTCCCTTCAGAAGGAGGAATTCAACCCATGAGCAGCTCTACCTCTGTTCTCAGGCCCTTCGTCCAAATCCGTCTCCATGATCACCACCTCTTCTTCCATGTCCTCAAGCTTCTGCTCTCCGCTCAGTCTGGACCTCCCCGATGTCCACCAGGCATAGGGTGCTCGTCCCCTCCTGAGCTCTGTGGAAAGCTCAGATCAGGTGGGTTTCCTCCTCATCCTGGAGCCTAGAAACCAAGAAAAGCATCCTCAGCGTCCCTGGCTGCTGGAGCTGTCCCATAGGGGCCGAGCGCTCGAGATGCGCCCCCCCGCCCCCGCCGCGCTCGGGACACGCGCCCAGGACCCGCGACCGCCCCGGGCTCAGCTCGGCCCACCCGCTCCGACGCGTCCTTCTGCCCGGAGCTCGAACCCGGGTTCGGGCGGGTGCATGAGGGTGGAGGGGTAATGAAGCTCAAGGTCTGAAAACTCCAGCCGCGCCTAGCACGGAACGACTCCCGGACCACTACCGACAGCGACTGCATCCCACCGAGCAACTCACCCCCCATCCCGGGCCTGACAAAGACCAACTTCTCTGGCCAGCTCCAAGTCGCGCATGCGCGAGACTCCTGGGGGACTAGGCTGGCCAGTCTCCTACCCAGAACTACAATTCCCAGAAGCTCCTGCGCGTTGCCAAACTCGGTTTCTTGGCAGGTGGGAGCAACGCCTGGCACAAGTGGGCAAAGAGGGCTCCTTCCCTCTCGCGAGAGTGTAGGTCACATCCCCTGTGGTTTTGCTCGCACCGCACTGGAAGGTGGGTCATAGAGGCGGACTTTTGTGACTTTATCGGCGGCGCTTTGTGCAGATACCTGTAGCCAGCAAGGCGCTTAGGACTGCTGAATTCAATCCAAATTTACTTTCCTGTAGGTATAAGACTATATGGCTTTTACCCAGTGTTTTGTCCTTCAAGCTATGTGAAAGGTGGGTTTTTTTCCTGCTTGCACATCCATTCATTCCAATGGTCTTGTATGCAGAGACGATTTGCAGTCCCCAAAATTCATATATGTGAGCAGAGTTGAAAATAATTGAACCAGTTTCAGTAAGTTTCAATAGTAAGTTCTTTGGAAGAAAAAAAAAATTGAAAATTTGTCAAAAAGATTGGTCTCTCAAGGGAACTGGTTCAGTCCCTCCAATACCTTTCAAGAAAAACCTTGGAGAAAAATGATTTACAGCCCCCCGCCCCCAAGAAGAGACTGTGGCACCCATTATCTGAGCCTCTTGGTACACCTATTTGTACACACACACACACACACACACACACACACACACACCAAGTGTGGACAGGATTATTACTTGCTGCTAACCATCAGAACAATCAAGAAGACAGAAGAGTCTGCAGTACCTGACTTTGAAGCAAGTTTTCTTAGCCTAGCTAGGTCTACCTCCTCACTCTTCAGCAGGCAGATTTTTGCTCTCGGAGGAGAAGTGAGCCTTAAGGCCTGACCCCAAGCAGGTGGATCCCAGGCAGCTACAGGAAAGATTTGAAGCGTGGCTTGGGGACAGTTCCACAGACAAGGAGGCCTTTAGCCACAGAGACACTGATCAGAGGAGCTCCCCATAAAGGCAAAAAAAAATAGAGTTGCTTCACCCTGAGAGTTGTAAGACAATGGCAGTGAATGAAGTGAGGTACTCTGTATAGGAAAACCAGGGCAACCTGGAGAGCCATGTACCATGTGAGCAGAGTCATCTCCTGATTGAGGGCCTTTTCAGGACCATTTCTCTATCCTTTCTATTGAAACCCAACAGGTTGCTATTTGAAGTGTTAAACCTTCCCCAACCAGAAGCCCCAAGGTGTTGATACTCACCCTGAAGGGCTGTGGGGCCACCTGGTGAGGACCATGGCAGTCCTGTCCAGTCGCAGAGGCAAGCAAGCAGTCACAGAAGCAGAGAGCCTAGTGCTGTCTCCAAGGACAGATCTTTGAACACATCCTGAGCTCCTATGCCATCTCCCCCTGCTAGGTGTTCAGTAGACTATGCCCCCTGGTTATGTTTTTCTGTGGATTCCAATAACATCTTCTTTACCCCCCTTGTCTATGTCTCTGAAGTACCCTTTCCCCCACCCTCATCATACCCTCCAATGCTCAGAAACAACTTGGTAAGAAACCAGTCAAGCCCTTTTTTGCCCATCGGTTTCACCATGAGGCTGCCACAGCAGTATCAGCGGACAGTGTGTTGGTCCTTTCCCCAGTAGCTCCACCAACATCTTTTGGAGCTCACCTGCCCTCCCCTCCTGCACCTCAGAGGACGTTCGGGTCTCCATCCCTGTCAACTGGTATCCAAACATGACAAAGCAGTCCATCTACACTATGACCATGACAAGAGGTTGGACTCTTTGGACACTAGACACGTCATCCTAAAATGCACCTGTGGATAGTGACCAGGGGTCACTTTCTGTGTGATGAAACCCTGGGGCACCCCAGAAGAGGTCACATCTACTGTATTTTTCCTCTTGTTTGACAGTGTGCTAGATATTCTATACATCAGCAATAAGAACGTAACTTAATTTCTTGCACTTTACTGGAAAATGTCAAGTAGTTCTGCTCTGTGGCTTTAGTGCTGAATGTTGGTTATGAAAGAGACTGATGTTAAGAAATTCATGGAGGAAGGCTGAATAGAGGGGAGATATAGTTGGGATGGAAAGCTGGGTCTTACTCTTAACTCAACCTGGAATGTTAAGTGAAATTTTACTTGAAAGGTTTCCTCAAGATATATGAAACCTAAAGGAAAGGTTTGTTTGCCAATGGACTATGAACACAAGGACATTGGAAAAGAGTGAACTCCTCAGACAATTATTTAAACTTGCACAGTCTTCAGAGACAAATTCTGTTAAAGAACTGTACTTCAGGACTGGAGAGATGGCTCAGTGGTTAAGAGCACTGGCTATTCTTGCAGAAGACCCAAGGTTGAATCCCAGCACCCCCATGGCGTCTGACAACCGTCAGTAACTCCAGTTCCAAGAGATCTGACACCCTGACACCCTCTTCTGTCCTCTGAGGGCACCGCATGACATAGGTGCACTTACATACATGCGGGCATAACACTCATATACATAAAAAATAAAAATAAATAAAATTTTAAAAAGAACTGTACTTTTCATGTGCTGAATCAGAAAGTGTAATGTCGATGTAAAACCAATCAGGTGTGAGCTGCATGAACTGTATTGTGAAATGAACACAAGATTGAGCTTTGTCAGTTTTAGCAAGTGAACTCTAGAAAGATAAACTAAGGTGATAAAATAGAAACATCAAAAAATCACAGACAAAGGATCCAATAGTTGTCTTGCCAGGAGATGCCACCCTTGCTGACTTTGATAAAGCGGGTAGTGATGGGACGAATAGCTAGCAAGAATGTAATGCCTTCAGTTCCACCAACAGGACTTGAATCCTTGCAATAGCCCCACGTGCTACTTGGTGAGAGATATGTTTTACAAATTTAATAAAACAATGGAAAGAATGGGGGAGATAATGGCATAGACATTACTAAGTTAAGTTCAAGCAGCAGAGATATAAAACTGTAGTGTGTAGTGTTCAAACCAGGAGAAAGAGTTTATTATTCAGTGGAACCCCAGACAAAATGAAAATATGAAGCAAAGAGAACATTTGGTTAAAAAAATAGATCTGTTATATTACTTACAACTATAGATATACATGAGTAAAATTCGATTATTAAAAAGAGGAAAGCCAGCTATTCTGGTGTTTGAGGTAAGGAGTTTCCAAGGCTGGGCTCTTAGCCTGAGCAACTTAGTGAGATACTGAAAATAAAATTTAAAAAGGGCTGGGGATAAAGTACAATGACAGCATGCTTGCCTAGCATAATCAAGGCCTTGAGTTCAATCCCAATACTAAAAAAAAAAAAAACTCAATTTGAAGTAAAAATAGATATCAAACAAAAATCAGAATGAAGCAATATGTTCTTCAGAAAACATATTTGGAATCATAAAACACAGATTTAAAACAAATTAGTGGTTAAAAAAAGTCAAATATGAGCTAAGATCAGGAAATAATGTTGTAAACCAGTTTTGCTTACTTCCTGAATCTTATGAGTCTCTCTCCTCCCTCCAAAAAAGAATATTTCAATTTAGAAAAAAATAGCTACAGAACATTTTAGCATCTCCTCCAGCTCTTACAAATTTTTAAAAAATATTTTATTTATTATTTTTATTTTATGTATATGTGTGTATTACCTGTGTGTAGGTAAGTGCACCCGTGTCATGCAATGCCCACGGAGGACAGAAGAGGCTGTTGGATCCCCTGGAACTGGAGTTATGGACAGTTGTTAGCTGCCATGTGGGTTCTGGGATTCAAACCTGGCATTCCTGCAAGTAAAACCAGTGTTCTTAACCGCTGAGCCATCTCTCCAGCTATCTACTCTTCTATGATATTCCCTGAGCCTTTGAGGGGTGAAATAGATGTCTGATTATTTTCCTCCACCCATGACTGAGCATTAGGCTACTGTGCCATAGCAACCATCATTTATTTTCAGAGGGTTGACCAATTATGAATCTCTGCAGTGTACTACCCATTGCAAAAACAGTTTTCTTCCCAAATGGGCTGACAAATCTATAAACACAAATGTTAAGAAGTCAGTTTGACAGAAATATTACATCTGTTCATCAGAACAATAAAAATGGTTCCCTAATTGGGCCCTATGAGTTCCCCAACCATAAACCTTTGCCCTGGATTACAGTACCTGATGTGAATTTCTTCCTGTGGAATGGGCTTTAAATCTAATTGAAAAGTATGTGGTTGTGTAGCAGGAAAGATCAGGCAGGACACCAAAAGTGTAGAGGAAGCAGGTATTTTATTTAGTCTGTAGCCTGGTCCAGCTGTTCAAATCCCAAAAAGCTAAACCCCAAAAGGAAGTAGCACCTTTTATACCTTACACATTGGATTACAGAGAGAAGGAAACATATATTATCAGTAAAGTCTTAAGACAAGGTAAATTATTATAAATTAAAAAAGTTAAAATCTGCTAAAAAAAAAAAAAAATCCTGTCGGAATGCCATTGGAGAAGTCTCCGTCTAAAGAAAACAGGAGGACGCACCTATGAAAGGAGGGAACAGACCATAGGCTAGCAATGGGTGACTGCCAGCATTCCAACCACAAAGGCTGTCAGCAAATATCCTGTTGACAAGTTGATATAGATAAATGATGAAAGAGAAAAACAAGGATTAAAATCCTTATTTCCTTTGAATATCCCATCAGGCCCTACATCAATTGTACCCACGATTCTTTAACTATTATTTTTACTGTGTTTGGAAAAGATGTTTTTCCAAATCTGTAAGACAGTTAATTAGCATGATACTGTCTATGTAATTAAACCTTTTACAAAAGGTGGGCACGGTCTCTGAAGGCTCACTGACCTCTATCTGCACTAAGTAAATGCCGATTTGGACTGAAAAAGCTAAGGGAATACTGATAGGTAGAGAATGGGCGGGAGCGAGCGGCGCAGATGGAGAGCATGAGCGGTTGGATGAAGCACGGAGGCTCAGATGGAATCCTCACAGATTTATTTCGCTCGGGGCACCTTTCCCTCGGGAAGGGAAAGATGTCCACTAAGGGAAAGAATGTAAGGG